CCAATAAGGCCGTGAGGGTACTTTGTGGAGCAGCAGGGGCCCTGCGGACGGGAAGGCCCTGGACCCACAGGGGGTGGGTGTCCTTCGACAGCACTCCTCTAAAACCCAGTGTTTTCCTGACCTCGCCTGGTGAGCTGGAAGGCCGAGGGGCGGCCCTGGGGGTGCACGTGCAGGCTCGGCCCCAGCCCTGCGCCCTGTGTGTCCCAGCTCCCCCTGGGGACCGGAGTCCCCGCCCAGCAGACATCCTCACTCCTTCATCCAGCAGATGCTCTCTGTGTCCCCGGGCCAGCGCGCCCACCACGGCAGGGATGAGCAAACAAGGCTTGGAGGGGGCAGCCCTTGCGCACCGGTGTGTGAGTGGGGGCTGGGGGTGTCCGTCTGTGCGTTTGCACACGCGAATGGGTGTGCCCCACCCGGGCGCCCGCTGCAGCTGCCCTCCCCTCCCCCACCTCAGGCCCCCTAATTTATGCCATGAGGGGGGCCGTCCACTCACTTGTTCCCAGCCAGGCAGTGGCTTTGTCCCCAGGCGGATTCCCAACGGCCGCCTTTGGGAAGAAAGGGCCCTTCTCTGGCCGGCAGTGAGGTCACCAGGAGGGGCCGGACGCGCACAAAGGCCGTGGCCCCCCCACCCCACCCTGCCAGCAGCTGCCTCTTTGTCCCGAGCTCTCAGCCTAAAAGAGACCCCAAGGGGCCCAGCTCAGCCTAGGCCAAGCCTGGCCTTCCTCCTAGGAAAGTGGATGGCGTGGGGGAGGGGCCGTCCTCTGGCTTGGCTCCCGGGGAGTGACAGCACCGAGTGAGGCGCAGACCTCACCCCAAACGCCATGCTGGGCCTGGGGCAGCTGTGGGGGGGCTCGGGCTGGTGGGGGGTATCTAGGTGTGCCCCCCCCCAGCCGGCAGGCAAGCAGGCTTCAGGGGTGGGGGGTGCAGGAAGGTGAGGGAGCTTGAGGTGTTAGGAGGCAGCCCCGAGAGAGGGGCAGGCAGCTAGGCCCCTGGCCTGGGGGGGCCTTGGTCATGGGGGGAGGCTCGAGGCAATGCTCCTTGCACCCCGCCACTGAATCCAGCTTCTCCCAGATCCCATGATGCCTGGCCCGTGCGTGTGTGTATTTGCTCTGTGTGTGTGTGTGTGTGCACGCGCATGCATGCGCACAGGCGTGTGGTGGGGTGAGAGGGGCTGGTGGCCTGGCTGTGAGAGATGGGGGAGCCCTGGTGGAGGGGCCCCAAGGGGCAGAAGGCGCTGAGTGGCGGACGGGGGGGTTGCGTGGGCAAAGGCCTGGTGGCCTGACTTAGGAGTTCAGTGAGGACTGCAGGGTGGAAGGCGAGACACGTGGACACGTGGACCTCCCTCCCTAGCCTGCTGAGCCGCCCCCCTCCCCCCTCCCCCGCCAGCTGGTGGTACTTGGGCTCAGAGCTCCTTAGTAGTCTCTCCGCGGAGGGAGGAAGTGGAGCCTGAAGAGAGCAAAACAAAAGCCCTCTGCTTGTCCCAGACAAACAGAGGCCGGGCTGCACACTGGGGACAGCCGCTGGGGGCCCTCGGCCCTGCCAGACGTGGCTGCGAGCAGAGCCAGCCCTGGCCAGACTCGAGGTGGGGGTGCCAAGCCCAAGGGCCGGGGACAAAAAGCAGATGGCAGAGGACTGGGGTCCCACCAAAACCTCTAAGGTCTGCCCAGGGCCGCCTGAAGTCCCTGCATCTGGCCTCCGGGGGACCAGCCAGGAAGCATGATCAGAGGAGGCAGAGGCCAGACGGACGCAGGCAGGGAGGGCTGGGTCACCCCAAGTTGCAGGAGCCCAGCTAGTGGGCCTGGGTCACGGAGGGTGCCAGGAGGGGGGCCGGGACTGGGAAGAGGCTGCACTCTACCCCAATGGGCCAGGCAGCCCCTGCACCCTCAAGTTGAGGGGGCGGCAGGGCTGGGGGCTGGGGGTGGCCCAGGCCTCCAGTCCCTACCCCTCCCTGGGAAACAGCTCCTGCCCCGTTGCCTAGTGCCTGGAATGTCCATTGTGCCTGTATCCTAGCAACACGCCTCAGTCACCCCTGCCGCCCCCACCCCACAGCCCGCTGCCCGCATTCCTACGCGCCCCGAGTCTCCACAGGCCTCTTGGGTATCTAGCAGCTCGGGGCCCTCCCGGCCTCTGCGTCCAGCACCTCGGCGACGCGGCTGCTGGCTCAGGAGGCCGGGAAGCTGCTCCCTGCCGCGTGCTGGCTCCCAGCTCTGCCTGAGACCAGTCCTGGGTGCACACCTCGCCTCCTTCCCTGCTTCAGTCCCACTTAGGTCTGCTTTCTTGCAGATGTGATGACACTAGGGAGAGCCACGAGAGGCTGCTGGGGCTGGCGGGGGGACAGGGACGGGGAAGGGGCATGGGGTCCCACGGGGCTCCTGGGTCAGGACAGTTGCCTGGGTGCCAATTACACTGCGATGAAATGGATTTCTGAGCCATTTTCTGGGGGACGAGGTCAGACCTGTTAGCAGCAGTGGGACAGGGGCAGAGGGTACAGGGCTAGGAGGAGGAGACAGGGTGGTCATCTGGAGCTGGAGAGGCCAGGACAGGCGCCACCTCCAGGGTGTGGGACGGAGCCTTCTCTGCGGCAGGAAGCGAGGGGCCCTGCTGCCCCCAGCTCCCTGCCCTTCCCCCACGCTCCACGCTGGGGCCACTCTGCAGGCCCAGCCTCCACCACAGCAAACCCACCTCTGGGTCTGTGGCCGCCAGATCCGTGCCGCGAAGGGCAGAGAATGGATGGCTCACTGTCGCCTTGCCGGGGACCAGCCCGCTGTCCGCCACCCCCCACCCCTTCCCTACGCTGGAAAACCATAGAGAAGCACCAGGGCCCTGACAAGAGGAGCTGGTGGCCCTGGGAGGGGAGGTTGAGAGTACTGAGTCTGAGCACCCTCAGGGTCAGGAATTGCTGCTGGAGAGTCCAGAGCAAACAAATGGCTGAAGCAGCCTGGGGCATTTTTCCTTTAAAAGAAGGGATCATGGAAAGTGTCAGGGAAATGCAAAAGCTGAGAAAATGCACAGCCTTCCAGGTCCAAGGAGTCCCCAGGCTCGCTCTCTCCCCTCACCCGGTACCGTGAGGCCGGTTTTAGCCTCTTTCCCCTTCCACAGTATCATTAACACACCTAAAAAAGTGCTCATTCCTTCAACCCGTGAAATAGCCACTCAGGCTTCCCATTTCCCAAATGTCTCATTTTGTGAAACGAGCTATTTGGTTTGTTCGAGGTGCGCATGCAGCGTCGCCCAGCAGCCTCCCCCGCCACCCCTGGCTCGAGCACTGGGAGCCTCCGGAGACAGTCATCTCAGGAGAAGGATTTGGGGACTTGACACAAACATTCCAGCCAGGCTGAGGCAAAATTAAGCTCTAATTGACAACAGCATGGCCTTGGAGAGGGAGGTTGATGGTCTGGAAGCTTCCATGGAGTTGGCTGAGCTGCTTACGCTCAAGATGTGTTCAGTTCGCTCGTTTTAAGAAATAAAAGATGTTAGAACAGTTGGAGAGACACCACGGCCCTCTGGCAGAGACCCCTGCACCTCCACCCCCAGGTTCCAAATTCTGTAGGTCTGGGGTGGGGCTGGGAACGTGCATTTGCACCGGGCCCCTCGGATGGTTCCTGGACACACCTGTGGCCAAAGGTTAGGGCCAGTTCTGCCACGGGGAACATGAGAACTGCCTTGTGGGTTTGCAAAGAGTGCCTGGCCAGCAGAGTGGACGGAAGCCTGCCTTGTGGGGGAGAACACATCTGACCTTGCTACAGAGACCGAAGTCAGGGAGGGGTGCCTGGTCTTCAGGTCCTGTCAAAGTGAAGGCCCCTCAAGCATCTCTTACTCCCTCAAAATGCCTGTTTTGAGTCCAGAGATTCCTGTCTACACCCTGCCCCAGGACACAGTGATTTCTGTCTCTCGCTGGGGCGCCCAGACCTCAGGCCCACGCTTGGCTGTTGGGGACAGGCTGGGAGGGTCCTGGGGACTGAGACTCAAGAGGGTCCATGTGTGCCAAGTGCTTGGGTGGTGGTGCACACAGAGGCTTTGTAGGAGTGTGGGGAGGACGTGGAGGGGAGCAGGGGGATTCAGGGCAAAGGGCCTGAGGGCTTGGAGACACAGGAGCCCCCAGAATCCTCCCCACTGCCGCCTTTATCCACCACAGAAGGAAGGAGGGCCCCAGAGGGAGTCAGAGGGGGGCTCAGGAGATAAGGAGCAAGGTGGGCCAGGGAGCAGAACTCCCTCATCCACTTGTGCTGGCTGGTGGCCAAGGGGGCTGGGGGTGGCCTTGCCTGGCGGGGAGGGGGTGCAGGGCCAACCCGTTCACAGGTTCTCCTCCCCACCCCGGCCCCTCTGCTTCTTCTAAAAATGTGCCCACACCCAGCCTGTCCCCCTTTGAAGGGACAGATGTCAGGGAGAAAGCTGATTACTGTCAGAGGCTGGAGGCTGTGACCAGAGCTCTCGGTGAGGGTGACCCAATTCCGAGCTATTCTCAGCCTGGTGGGAGCCGAGTTATTCCCTCCCGCCGACGCGGCTGTTCCGGAGGCAGCCTGACTTTGAAATGCCCTCCTCCGCCGTCGGGGCCCAGGCCGGCTCGGGGAGGCCCGAGGTCCCACGCCCCGCCCTGCGCGCCCCAGCCCCGGCCGCACCCACACCCAGGGGCTCCCTCCCCAGCCCGCCGGGAGGGTGGGCCGCGGACCCCCAGGTGCCCGCGGGACCGCTCGCCCCTCCTGCGCCTGAGCCCGAGGCCGCCACAGAGAAGGCCGGGCGCGAGCAGGGTAGGTGCGTGCGGGCAGCCCGCGGGCCCGGGGGGAGCCGCGAAGGGCGGGCAGCAGCCCGGCCCCCGCACGCGAACAGGCCTGGCTGAGGTGGCCAGGGAGCCGCCCCGCCACAGACCTGGGAGGGGACGGGGTGCTTTCGGGCGGGGAGGGGGGTTGGTGTTTGTTAGGCCCGTGTCTGGTGCCGCCTAGCACCTAACCCCAAAGCCGTGGAGGTCAACGAAGAGCCGTGGGCCCGTGGCCAGCCTGGGGTTCTTGCAGTTCTGTTTTATTACACACTTAACTGTAAGCACAGGGAGCGCATGAGCTGGATTTTCCAGAGAAGTCTCAACGTCAAACCGCCTCTGCCATGATCCTGATCAACTAGTCAAGCGCCCCTGAAGCAAACAGCTATTCAAGGGCCTCACATTGCAAAGGACATTCTCAGATGGACCCAGAAGCGGCCCCAGAATTCTGGCCTCGGAATCTGCAACAGAGACTGAGGGCTTCCTGGAGGCGGGGGCAGCGGTAGCTCCCACTAGTGATAACAATCATAGAGCCGTTCTAGGGCGCCAGGCTGGCTCTGTCGGGAGAGCGCACAACTCTTGATATCAGGGCCATGAGTTCGAGCCCCACGATGGGTGTAGAGATTATTCAAAGAAATAAATTTTAACTTAAAAAATATATATATCAGAAATGTTCTGTGAGGACTGACTGAGCAAACGCTGATGCGACACTTCATCTCTGGCAGCAATTCCCCACCCCCATGCCAAGGCAGGCACTGTGTTCACCCTCCTCTCTGCCAGGAGGACGGAAGTGACTTGTCACCGTGGCGCCACAGGGAGGACGGGAAGCAGGCAGGCTCAGAGCCTGAGCCCTTAAGTGCTTGCACCCCCCCAGTGGAGGGCAGAGTGGAGTCTGGGCAGCCCCGCTACGGCTCAGGTCCAAATCTCTTGTCCCTCTGACTGCAGGGGCCACCTGCTGGCAAGGCCTTCCCGACTGTCCCAACCCCAACCTCCACCGGCCCCCCCCCGAGTTTAACCCCTGTCCCTTGCTTTGCTTCCACCATACACTTCTCACCTGCACTCTGGGCCTGGTTCCCAGGAGCCCCGCAAGGGCAGGCTGGGCTGCCCTGAATGTCTGGGTCCTCAGCGCCAGGAGGGGCTTGGTCCGCACTTGCTGGGCGGGGGGATGGCACCCCGTGAGGCTGGCGATGGCAGGATTCTGAGATTTGGGCACAATTGGGCAGCCCCCCCCCACACTCCCTCCTGAGGGCATCAAGGGCCAAGACCTCCAGCAGGGCTGCCCCTGGGGATTCTCTCACCTGAGGCCCCGCCAGGAGGCAGGGCCATCCCCAGGCTGCCTCTGGGCAGGCTGGGGTACTGTGTCTGGGCAGCCAGTCTGTGCTTCGAGCAGCCTTGCGAACAGGGCAGGCAGCTACCAGCTGGGAGGAAGTGCCCTCCACACCTACTCAAACTCCCCACTGGCACTCCCATCTTATTCTTCCCGGCCTGCCTGACGTCTCCTGCCCCAGGCCTGCCCACTCCCACCTGGCAAGGCCTCCTGCTCAGCCTCCTCCAATTTCCACCCGCCCTTTCAGCCCCCGCATGGCTGTCACCTCTTCTGGAGTCTTCCAGGATTATAGCAGAGCTCTCCCCTTTGTCCTCTGTGGTCACAACCTAGGGTACCACACAGGGTGGGAGAGGGTCTGGGAGTCCCTGGTGGGTAGAAGCCGGCCTGCATCCCAGTGAGTCTCATCTCCTCTGGGCCTGTTTCTCCACCTGTGCAGTGAGCTAGGGTGGGGCAGGAATAGCATCATCTCCCTGGGCCTGGAGTCCCACATAGCCTGCCTGCCCTGCCTTCAGCAACAGGTTAGAGGCAAGGGGCCCACATCTCTTGGAAGACAGAGGCGGGGGTGGGGGGGAGGTTGGTGGGCCACAGATCTAGACAGTAGGGGTGAGGGGGGCAGGTGTGGGGAAGTCCACCTGCTGTCCTGTCTTCGTGGAGCAAACAACCCTTGTCACACTGCTTGACAGGATGTGGCCCTCAGGGGCCTGGCAGCCATTATATCACCCACCGCCTGTCCGAAATCCAGCCCCAGGCCCCAGGCCCCAGACCACGCTGCCTCAGGGGCTCCTGCTAGAGGAGGCGAGCCCCTCACAGGCAGGTGAGGGCGAAGCAGGCCAGGGCAGGGGCAGCACGTATCAGGGCTGAGGAGGGCAAGGCCCAGGGGACTTCCTGGGGGAAGTGGCTGGAGCCAGCCTCTATGGAGGCCGAAGCCGACTCTAACCCTGCCGGTAGGGCAGGACCCTGGGCTGGGGCCCTGGGAGCGGGTGAGCCAGGAGCTCTAGGCCTTCAGAGGCTCTAGGCCTTCAGGGGCTCTAGGCCTTCAGGCAGGCAGCGAGACGTGTGACTGGGCGGGTACAGGAATTTCCAGGAAAAATGGAGCGTCACTGGAGTGTCTGGGTGAATCCTTGCCCTGTGACCAGCCCCATGCCGCTGACTCTTGGAGGTGATGGTCACTGACCTGCTGACCCAGTCACGCACTCACCATGGGCGCTGGCCCTGCCTCTGGCTTCCCTTCTGCCAAACTGGGGCACTATTCAGCGTTGGGATCGCAGGCCGGGAGACGTGAGGGCTGAGAACGGTGGAGCAGGATGCTCCTGCCTGAGATTGGCGGTGGCCGGCAGAGAGACATTTGAGGGGGTCTTACAAAGGGTGCACAGGAGTTCCCGGGGGGCTCAGGGCCACATGGAGCTCCAAGCTGAGGTCGAATGGAGCCTGGATGGCTACCTGGGATGAGGCTGGTGCCCAGGGGCTCGTGTGGGGCCTGGCAGCACAGCTGAGGGGCTGGAGGGTCCCCCTGGACTTCAGAACTGCCCTGGGCCAGGTACGTGTACGAGCAGGGGCAGGCGTGCAGGTCTCCTGACCCCAATCCTCCAGCTCCCACAGGCCCAGGGATGCCCAGGGCTGGAGTCTAGGCCACCATCCTCAGCCCCACATGGAAGAAGGAGCACACACAGGCAGGCCCGTGTGCTCTGCAGAGCGTGCAGGGTTATGCCCTGCGTCAGGCATCTTGCCTGCCTCTCTCCAAGGCCAGGGTAAGGCACAGGTCCCTCCTCTGTCCCCTAAGCTAGGCATTTGCTCACAGCTCAGGACAGGTCCTGGGAGGGAGAATAAGACCCCTGGGCTGGTGGTTCCAGGGCCGCAGAGGAACTCTGATGGGACTCAGGTCCTGCTAGGAGCCTGGGCAGGAGAGGGGAGGCCCCCCAGCCCTGTAAAGCTGCCCCCAAGAGACCAGTCCTCCAGTAGGCCCACCTCACCTGGCACCTTTGCAAGGTCTCAGGCCTGAATGTGGCCTGGGTCTGGAAGGGCAGGCCTGTGTGTGTGGGGGGGGTCCTTCTTGAGATCTAGGCCCTTCCGGAAACACAAGAGGTGGCGCCTGCTATGAATGAATGCAAGGCCAAGCCAGGCTGTGAAGCGAGGGTCCAGTGCTCTGGGATGGACACATGGACACACACACACACACGCAGACCCTCCTCCTCCTCCTCCACTAGGACAAGTGGCCCTTTCTGTGGCTGAGTGGGGGTGGCCACACACTCGCCCCTTTGTCCATCATGTCCCAGGCTGCTGTCCTGGAGTCCAGGGCCCCCGGGACAGGGAGAGGAAGGAGCAGGGGCCGGGGCGCTGGTGTGGGGGGAGGCCCGGCCAGGGCACTGGCGTGGGGGGGCACCGAAGAGACCAGGGAGCACGGCGGCGGCAAGAGTGTTTATTGCTCTGCCAGGTCGGGAGCCAGCGCCCGGCGGCACACTTCCCTGGGGCTCTTGTCCTAGCATGGAAAACGGAAGCTCTTGAGGACAGGTGAGGCCAAGGGCAGACGCTCAGGCCCTTCACGCAACCAAGGCCGGCAGGGATGCCAGGCACCCGGCCCAGAGCTGGAGACCAGGGCCAGGCAGGTGACACGGGGTACGGCCCTCCGTCCTGGATGCACCCCCATGCCCCCAGCAGTCCTGTGAGGGGCAGGGGCACCCAAGCAGCCCCGGGGCTGGACAGCCGGGGTTCCAACAGCTCTGAGAGGGCTGGGCCGGGTCACCTGAGGCACTTTACTGTCCCCCTCAGGCTCCTGGCTAAGTGGCGCTCTGTTCTCACTGACACGCCGGGGCTCTGGCTGGACCAGGGCCACGGAAGGCACTTCCAGTGGCGGGAGAAGCGCGGCAGACGGGCAAGGCTGCCCGGGCCCCTTCCCCCCCATGGGAGGGGGTACAGGGCACTCCCACTTGGCCTGTAAGGTCCTCATGGGGGGGTGCTCAGGCCTCAGGCCACCCAGCAAGCCCACCTCTCCCTCCCCCAGCCCAGCACCATCAGCTCCGGGGGGAAGAGGGGCTAGCCCACAGACCCAGGGGTCCTCCTCCTCCGAGTCCTGGCTCCCTCAGCCCCCTGCCAGTTTGGGGCTACCTGGGAAGGGGTCAGGGCCCCACCACCTACACCCCTTGGCCTCAACAGCCAGAAGAGCCGGTGACAGCAGAGACTGTGGCAACAGACGGCAGCAGGACAGGGGGCGAGGGGCGGGAGACGTTCCCACCCGGAGAGGACCGGCCGCCCCGAGAGGCCCCCAAGCCCCGCCCCGCCCCGCCCGCCGCGTGTTCTGTCTAAACACAGGCCCCAGCAGGCGTGCGCTGACCACATAAGGTGGCCTGTGCTGAGCTGCCCCCTGCCCCCTCCGCGGGCTCTCGGCTCCCTGCGGCTCCCGGCGGGAGGCCCACTAGCCCGGGGTCTTGGTGGCGAAGGTCAGGTAGCCCGTGTGGCCCACGGCCTCCTTCGTGGGCGTGCCGCTGCGGAAGGGGCGGGCGCCGGGCCCCGGGCCGGCCCCCAGGTCGGGCGCAGGCAGGCTGACGGTGCGCACGCTGTAGAGCCGGGGGAGCACCTCCACGGTGCTCAGTTCCGAGAAGCCGCGCGCCGCCAGCGCCTGGCAGGTGCGCTGCACTTGCTCGATGCACGGCGAGAAGGAGCAGAAGCGCCCACCTGTGGGGAGCCAGGCCCGGGGTCAGAGGGCAGCGGGGCACGCGCGCCAGGTGGCCGAGGGCTGCCCCCCGCCCCCAGCCCCCCGGGCGGCGGGCGAGGGTCCAGAGCCGGTGGCGCAGGAGCTCCCCTGGAGCCACGTGGAAGGGATCGCTTCGGCCGAGCCCATGACCCTGATTTCATCTGGACTTCGGCACTGCCACCTTCACTTCCACGAGGAAGCCGAAGGTTGGGGCCGGGGCGAACCATGGGGTCAGGGTCAGGGCGGAGCCTTGGCGGCAGCCGCCAGAGCGCTGCGCTCAGAACAGGGCGGCGGTGGCGGTGGGGGAAGGGGTTCGCAGGCGGTGGGAGCTGCTGCTGTCACAGGAAATTAGAGGCTGTCACCTACTCTGGGGAACTGGAGGCGCCTACTCTGAGCAGTGCCTGACGGCCAAGGATGACGGGGTGCAGGCGGGAGCCGACAGCCCCTTCCTGCCACCTCCCACCAGGGCCCACCCGCAGTGTCCCTCAGCCTGGCCCGGGTCCAGCCCACATCCCTGTCCTAGCAGGGAAGCCTCGGCGGGAAAGGGACACAGCCGGACGAGTCCTCAAATGGCCCCGAGGCCTGGTCACTTCAACCACACCTGGGGACACAGACCCCCCAGACAGGTCTTCAAGAAGGTGTAGGCTTGGAGGAGGGACCATGAGTCTGAAGCCAGCCCAGAAAGGGTGCAGGGTCATCCCCAAGAAGGGACCCGACCCCTACGCATACTGCTAGGAAAACAGGCCCCACCCGGTGAGGGACAGAGCCTGGGGTCAGGTTCACAGAGCAAGCAGGCGAGCCACTGGAAAATGCAAGGCCCACAAGTAAGTTGGGAACCTCTGGGACCAAAACGAGCAGACACAGCAACACCGCAAAGGAGGGGGCTTAGAGGAACACGGGGAATGGAGACGACAGATGGCGCGGCTCCCCGGGGGTTAGCCACCAGGAAGGAACCTTGGCAACAGGAGGAAGGCCTGGGAGTGTGACCCCCTGCCCTTGGCCCAGGCTGGGCGGTTGGCTCCGGCCTCCGTGGGACTGGTACCCAGGCCTGCAGTGTCTGGGGGCAAAGCCGGAAGGCATGGAGGTGTAGGGAAGCGGGGCCCACCGTGGCAGAGCCCAGGGACACGACGGGACCCACTGGGAGCCGTTGCCCAGAGTGCTTCGCTCTTGGAGAAGCGCCTTGGCACCTGTCTTTGGGAGGGGCAGCCCTTCCCCTGGGGCACCCTGGGCTCCCTCTCTGCCCTCCCCGGCTGCACTGCTCAGCGGGGACGGGGGAAGGGGCCCTGGCTGCCTGGGCTGGCTCCTTCTCCAGAAAAGGGAAAAACCCAGGGCCTCACCAGCGACTCCCTGGCAAAGAGCCAACCTTCCCGCCTCCTTCCCGCCTCCACATCCAGCATCTTCCCTAAAAGAGGCCGGTTTGCTGACTTGTGGCTGGGGGGAAGGGAGACTCTGCTGGCAAGGGCTGAGGTTAGGGGCTGACCTCCAACCTCTAAAATGTCTCGTGGCATATGGGTCCCCCCTCTCACTGACATGGAGCCGCTACGTTCCCCAGGGAACGCAGACATCTCCCACATCCGGGGGCGAGCGGGGCAAGGCCAAGGAGCAGGGGCTCAGCTGGAGCCGCCTTCTCCCCAGATCTTACTCCTCCCAACCTCACCCTCTCACGGGTTGACTTCCCGTGAGTCCTCGGCCAGCCTGACCCACCCCGATTTGGGGCCAAAAGGGGTCCTGGCCTAGCCAGGCTGTGCGGCCCAGTGATTTCTGACCCCTCTGGGCTTCAGGTGACCCACACCCAAGGCCGAGCCCAGGAGCTCAGTCCCCAGGGCCGCACCAGAACCCCCACTGTACCTTCAACCTTGAGGGCATCCCAGGCATGGCCCACAGCCTCCCAAGGAGACGGGATGTCCAGGAAAACAGCATCTGCCACGTGGCTCACACCAAAGCCGCTGCGGCACACGTCCTGGTTGCGCACCGTCACCCAGCGGCCCACTCGATGCTCCTGGAACTCCTCCCGAGCCTTCTCCGCCCGCTGCTGGTGGAACTCCACGGTGTGCAGGTGGCCCGTGGGCGCGATGGTGCGGATGATGGCGTGGGACACGGAGCCGCTGCCAGTGCCTGGCGGGACAGGACGGGTGTCAGGCAGGACGCTGTGACACTCAAGAAACAACTCCACCCTCATCCTGGAAAGACCCACACAGGGCCCACGGGGACAGACGATCCCGGTTACTCATGTGCAATCACTCCCAGAGCTGCCCGCCAGGTCCCGGCTGCCCAGGGTCTGGTTAGCTGGGGCTGCACTGGGCCTGGGTGGGGACAGGACCACCTGGGGTTTATTTCCTGAGTCTGCTGTGGGCCCGGGGGGAGAGTGGAAGCCCTGCCCAATCCCAGCGCCAGAGGCCCCGTAGGGTCTAGACAGAGCAGAGGGGGCAGCAGGTTGGGCCTGTCCCCAACCCTCCACCTGGTGGCTGGTCCTGAGCCCCCTCCCCCTGAGCTCCTGGCCCACTTAGGTCGGTCTGCCCGCCCTGCCCCTCACCTGCCTCCACCACACAGGGTGAGAGGGTGGGGCAGCCCTGCCCTCGCTCTGCGCAGCCTCACGGTGCCGTGACATGGCAACCAGCCAGCCACACAGCTCCAGTCTCCCGTGTCATCGTCCCCCAGTTCTCTTCCAACTGCACTGGCCACTCCTCAGCTGCCTTCAGCCGCCCCCTGCTTGACTTCCCACCTGGCAGCGCCCAGCGGGGCTGTGTCTCCGCCCCCGCCACGACCTCCCCTCACCCCGCGGTTTCCAGTGCCAGTCTTGATGAACACTCCCCAAAGCCATGTCCCGACTCCTCTACTAGTGTCCAGTGCACGCACACCACCTCCCCTCAACAGCCAACCAGCGCTCGCTCGGCATGAACAAGGGCAAAGCTGGATCCGCTCCAATCCCAAACCCCTCCCTGCCAAGCCTTTCCCGGCCCAGTCAGCGACACCCAGAGCTCAGACAGGCACCCCAGAGGTGCCCTCGACTCTCTGCTCCACCCCACATTCGATCCACTGGGAACTTGTGTCTTCCCCCGCATCCCCACCCTGCCACCACACTGCCTGGGCCCTCCCTCCTGGCTTTGTAACCACCACCAGACGGGCCAGCTGCCTTCCATCCTGCCTCAAACACAGCAGAGTCAGACCTCTGACGGCCCTCTGAGCTGTGCCTGTTTCCTCCTGACCTCACTGCCTGCTCCTGCCACACTGGCCTCCTTGCTGGGCCCCTACTCAGGGCCTTTGCACGGCTCGCCCTTGGGGGGACACTCTCCCTTGGCTCTTGGTAGTGCCTCCTACTCATCATTCCCAGCTGAACGTCCCCTTGTCAGAGGTCTTCCCTGACCAACCTAGCTGAAGGGACCCCTGGGAGTCACCCTCAAACACGTAGCCCTGTTTTACCAGCCTCACAGCAATCAACAGCACGGAACCGGTGACACTGGGCTTACTATCTGCTCAGGGAAGCAAAAACCCGGCCTGTCTTGTTCACGGCTGGACCCACAGTTCCTAGACTGGGAGCTGGAACACCAGAGCCCAGAAGCATGCCCCCTACACAGACAGTAGCAGGGGATGGCGCCGTCTTGAAGTCTTGCAGTCCATCCGCCACCTGCACCCCATGCCCCTGTGGCTGAGCAGTTGGCCCCTGCCCAGCCCCTGCCCACCGTCTGACCCACAGCCCAGGTTATGCATCTGACTCTTCCCATTTCAAAGCGTTTGGTTGGGTAACAGGAACCATCCAACTGCCCACATGGAGAGGAACAAATGGCCTTGAAGTCCTCAGAAAGTTGGAAGCAGTGATGTTGGGAACTCTTCGTAACCTTGGAGCCCTGCTGCGCAGCCCATGAGGAACATGCTGGAAACCTAGGTGCATGTGGGCTGGGCTGCTCTTGGCTGGGCTGTATGCTTCAATCTCCATCCCAGGCGGCCCCAGCACCCGTGTGTATGCATGTGCGTGTCTAAGAGCCAGGACCGACCTCAGGCCTTGGACTCAGTGACAGTGGTGCTGGCCAAGGGTGAGCTTGAGGCAGTCTCCCCACCTACAATGAGCACCTCAGAGCAGCCCTGGCCTCCCTCCAGGAAGGGGCAACTCTCAGCCCCGTCAGCAAAAAGGTAGGGAACGGCAGTCAGCGCCTAGGCCAGAGCCGAGTGGCACTCTGGCCCTGCCCCACCAAGGCAGGCAGGACTCTCACTGAACACCAGCTCCCCAGGAGGGAATCGCTGGTCCCGCACCATCAACTCTCGACCAGATCTGCTGCTTCTCACTCCCTGTGGTCAGCTCCCCAGAAACCTCCCGGCAAAAGAGAGGCTGAGCAACCATGCCGCCTGTCCTCTGGGAGGGCAGGCTGGAGGCTGTCTGGATGTTGGGTCTGATCTCCACCTTCAGGTCAACTTTTCAGAATTAGAACTGAGGTAGCCCAAAGAACTCACCGGATTCACAGACCACAGAACCAGGCCGAAGCTCCAGCATCATGGTGAGCAGAGCAATGTCGGTGGAGTAGAGAATCTGGGTGCGGTGTGGCAGGTTCAGTGTCCAGAGCTCAGGCGTGGGGTGCAGCACGTACACCCAGCCCCCTCGGCCACAGGTCACCTTGGAGCCGAAGGGGCGGCCGATGAGGTCTACTGAGTGCCGCAGGACACCATGCCGGGTCTGGGTCTGTGCCCCACGCTGCACACGCACTGCTACCATCGCACCATGGCCCAGTGACAGGATGGCCGTATCACCCTCCTTGATCAGCTCCTCATACGCCACGAAGCTCATGGTGTTGCTGTCTGGCAGGTGCCTGGGACCTGGGAGGAAGCGCGCCAGCATGAGCGTGTAAAGGTGCCAGGAGGGTGCACCTGGAATCTGGGTAGAGGGCTGAGAGGCCCAGCACCCACGCGGTGTCCCTGGCTGCACCCTGGCCTGACATGTTAAGCCCTCCTTGGTCTGGGTCCTAAGACACAAGTCACCAGCCCAAATCACAGAAGCGGGGCCAGGGCAGAGGACGGGCCCAAGATTTCCCACCAAGCCAAGACCAGGAGACCAGGAGACCAGGAGGCTGGCTCCCACGCTCCAGGTGCGAGATGAGGAGCCGGCGCCGGCGGGGCAGCGGCCGGCGGTCTGTGCTACCGCCTCCATGCCGGGCTCCATTCCGCGGAGTCCCCCCTCCCCAGTCTCCCCGCACACGGGCTTCCAGGGGGCCGGGCGGCAACGGGGATGCAGGACAGGTAAGGGCCCTCCGGAAGGGGTGCGGGTGCGCCCGGCCCGGCGGCCCAGGGCGGGGGCCGCGCGGAGTCTCACCCGCCACGCGCGGCCGGGTCCCACTCCCCGCGCTCCGCACGTGGCGCCGCGACAGCGGCTCCGCACTTCCGGCGCCGGCCTGGCGCCCAGCGATGGCGTCACGCGCCCCGCGGCGCCCCACCCCCCGCGCGGGATGCCGGGACCCGCGGGCAGCCCCCCCCGCTGCGGAGCGCGCCCCGGGGCGGCTTTCGGGCCGCTGCTGCCTGCCCGCTTAGACAAGCTCGTGCAAAGGACAAACGAGGAGTTCCCGCGTCCGCTCGGCCGGCTGCTGTGGGCGGGGACGGGGGCTGGGCACCGTAACGCACCCTTCTCGACAGCCCCGGAGCTCTGTGCCCGAGCCCTCCGAGGACGCTTTGCCTCGGACATGCTGTCACCGCAAACCACTCCGGGACCATCGCAGACTGGGCCCCAGGGTGAATTCCAGAAAGTGAAATTGCAGATCGGAGGGCTGTCCCAGAAGTCTCTGGCCGGAAGGGCTGCCCAAGTGGCCTTAGGCCAGGCCCTGCCTCCCATGCGGGGCACATTCTCCACTTCGGGGGGAGGTTAGGGGTGGTGAGATGCAGGAACTGGGCTCCCGTTGGGGTCGGTGAGGGCCAGGTGAGCAGCCTGAGCAGGGGACTGGGGGAAGGGCAGCGGGAAGACAAGGGCAAAAAAGGGAAGCGGCAGCCCTGTTTCCGTCTCAGCAGGGCTGACTCAGAGCCAGTTCCTCCGTACAGGGTGTGTGTGGGGGAGGGAAGGACAACAGGGGATATGGAATGCCTTCCTCCGTCACCCAGCTCCCAGCAACCAGGGCTTGTCGTGTTAGCCCTGGGGACCCGAAAGGGGATAGGGACTCTCCAGCCCACCCCTGCTACCCAGGAGCTAACTCTGGGCCCTAAACCAGCGCCAGCTAGCAATGACCCTGGGCCACACCCCAGGCCCAGATTGCTCCAGCCTGGCAAAATGGGAGTGGCCAGGCCCCTGCAGAGCCAGCCGGCCCTTGGGGCACTCTGAGCTCTCTCTCTTCTGGGGCCAGGACTGCCACAGTATCTGTGGCCCTTGCCATGGGCCCCTCAGAGTCCATGGTAGAAACCAGTGCCTGGCCTCAGCTCCACCACCCCTACCCTGCCCCTACCATGCCTCTGTCCTGGCTGGGCCTGGGTTTGGGAACCTCCCTGGGGGGTAAAAAGGTAAGGGGACTTAGGTGGCCTGCCATTCCCTGTGGGTTCATGTTCCTCTGGGGCCAGCACTCTGGCCACCAGCTGCCTGTGTGGCTCATCATAGCCTCGCTGCCTCTTGCTCTCAACATTGACACAAGCCAGCCCCATCTATGGCTTGCCAGCCTCTGTTCCAGGTGATCTGCTTCGCTCCTTTGGTGATGCACCTGACTGAATCACCCCCTAATTGCTCCCCTGGGAGATTTCAACTTTCCACTTCTGGGGGTTCCTCTTCCCCAGCCTCTCAGCTGCAGTATGGAGCTGGGGTTGGGCGCCTACTAAGAGCCTAAATTAGGACTTGGTGACTCCGCAGTGGTTTCCTGTGGTCCCAACTTCCCACTTGCCTCTCTGTTCGTGCCTGGCTGGCCAGCTTCTTCAGTGCCTCCTCCTCCAGGCAGCCTACCCAGATTGCCCATCTGCTCCATCTGAGCCTGCCCCAGCCCTTAGTCTGCGTCCTCAAAGCACCAGCTTCCCCCAAGCTCCAGCTGACTACTCAGGTTAGGTGGGCACCTTGCCTCGGGCAGAGTTTGTATATTGGGGCTCTCTTAAAAAGAACCGATTCTATATAAGCCCAGCTAAGTGTCATTGTATTAAACTCTCTCCACAATCCTATGGAGCAGGGGTAGGGGTGGGGGGATCACTTTACAGATGGGAAAACTCAGATTCAGAGAGGTTAGGTAGGGCGCCTGGGTGGCTCAGTTGGTTAAGCGACTGCCTTCGGCTCAGGTCATGATCCTGGAGTCCCAGGATCGAGTCCCGCATCGGGCTCCCTGCTCGGCGGGGAGTCTGCTTCTCCCTCTGACCCTCCTCCCTCTCGTGCTCTCTGTCTCTCATTCTCTCTTGCAAATAAATAAATAAAATCTTTAAAAAAACAAAAACAAAAACAGGTTAGGTAGTTGCCTAAGGTCGCATAGCCAATGGGGCCAAAGTGGGACTGGGATTTAAAGCCAGTAAATCTGACTTCAGAGAACCAATGGTAGATTTGAATAAAGGTGAGAACAGGCAGGAAAAAGACCCTGGAGAAAAGGGTCAGAGTCACCCTGGGGAAAAGGGAGAAGCTGAAGATGCCCACTGGGGGAGTCTGCACCTGACAGGGATCAGGTGACCCGAGGTCCTCCCCTCTCTGACTAGTCCAGCCTCCTGCCTCATAGTGCTCTGTGACCCCAAAGCAGCTCCCACCCCTCTCCAACCAACTTCCCCTGTGGTTCTTCAGAACCCAGGGACAGGGCACCAGGAGGAAGAATTGCCCACCCTGACTGCCTTCTTTTTAAAAAGATTTTATTTTTGGGCGCCTGAATGGCTCAGTTGGTTAAGCGACTGCCTTCAGCTCAGGTCATGATCCTGGAGTCCTGGGATCGAGTCCCACATCGGGCTCCCTGCTCGGCGGGGAGCCTGCTGCTCCCTCTGACCCTCCCCCCTCTCATGTGCTCTCTCTCTCTCTCTCATTCTCTCTCTCTCAAATAAATAAATAAAATCTTTAAAAAAAAGATTTTATTTTTATTTATTTATTTTTTTAAGATTTTATTTATTTATTTGAGAGAGAGAGAATGAGAGAGAGCACATGAGACGGGGGAGGGTCAGAGGGAGAAGCAGACTCCCTGCTGAGCAGGGAGCCCGATGCGGGACTCGATCCCGGGACTCCAGGATCATGACCTGAGCTGAAGGCAGTCGCCCAACCAACTGAGCCACACAGGCGCCCCAAAAGATTTTATTTTTAAATAATCTCTACACACAACATGCAGCTCAAACTCATAACCCCAAGATCAAGAGTTGCATGCTCTATCCACTGAGCCAACCAGGCACCCCATACCCTGACTGCCTTCTGAGGACAGACTCTGGGAATGACCTCTGGTCCCCTGCTTGGCCGTCCCACCTGGCCTACCTCTGCAAGCCCAAAGCTGCAGCCCCACTGGGCAGGCTCAGTTCGATGGATGAAAAGCTGGGGACTCCATTGAAGCTCCCCTCCCCCTCCAGGGCCAGCTGGTTAATGTGCAACCAGGTGTGCTTTCTGAGGAACCTGGACCGTAAACTGGTTGGGTGATGTCACCCAGCTTCTTGCCCAGACGCTGCCAAACCGGCTCATTGGGCCCTGGGGGAAATGGAGGGTCCACAGGCAAGGGCTAGGTCACTGGGGCAATGTTATTCTAACTGTGGTGGAGGCTGGCACCATCCAGGCCTCCCCACCCCTTGCTCCTCTGCTCTGGGATCACCCAGGCTCCCAAGCAGTCCCTGCCTGGTAGGGGACCGCCCGGACATTTGGGTCTAAAGGCCTTGAAGATCTCCTCTCCTTCCCCCATCACAATGCTGTCTGTTGACCATCCATGCTGTCAATCTAGTCCAGCCTAGGCTTGGCCTGCCCCAGGGGTCCCCAAGATGGGCTCCAGGTTAAGTTCGCCCACGGCCAAGCACTCCCGGACCACTGAGGGTTTGCTGGACCTCTGACCTGTCTCTTCTGTCACCCACCTTCTGATCGTCCTTTGCTTCTCTGCAAAATGGATAAAACACCCATGTCAGAATGCTGAGGATTGCTGGAGCCTCCGGCAGGAGTTATCACCCAGGCCTGACCTTTAGCAAGGACCTCCCCTCTCCAGTGTGGGCTATGCTTGAGGAAGGAGAGGGCAGCAGGACCTACCCTCCTTCCACCCAGCAGGTCAGGCCCTTAGTGGCCTGAGGGTGGAGGGGGGTTCTTCTGGGAAGCTGCAGAGGCTGAAGACAAAGGGGAAGCCCTGAGTGCCCCTCTCCCCATGTCTGAAAGCCAAGTTGGCCTCCAGATTTCCAGAAACAGAAACTTGAGCCCATCAGGCTTTTGGAGGTGGGGAGGTGAAGAGGGCAACTGTGGATTATTTCTAAAATTGGAGGAAGGGGCTGCAGGGAGCACAGTGTGCAGAAATTCCAGGCTTAAGGGACACCTGCTATCTGGGCAGCCCAGGGCCATTTGCCTTTTTGCTTTGGTTTGTTTTATGTGCTTAAGAAAATGCCAACTGAGAACAAGTCAAAGCATGCTCAGGTGAGCGAGAGAAGAGGCAGGAGTCTCATGTGTGGTAAGCACAGGGACTGCCTATCGAGACTCCGCACCCTTTGATGTGCATGAAGGCAGAGGTGAAGGGACTTGCTCCTCCTTTGGGTCTTTGCTCCAGTGCCCATTCCCCAGAGGCACCAGACACTGGAATTCCTCGCGCTGCCTCTGCCCTGCCCCCACCCCAGCGGCACCCATCTTCTCCCAGATCCTGACAGTATTTCCTTCTGGTTCCCGTGGCTGCTTGCTCATGGCCAGCCTTCCAGCAGCAGCGTGATGTTCACCTTGCTGCCTGCAGTGCTCACTGTGCATTCCTGGAGGGATTCTGTGAAACATACACAGAGCTAAGGGCTTCTCCTTTCTTGCTTTATTCACAGAACAATGAATGCATGGTGGACATTGACACATAAGCTCCAATTCACTTCTTTTTTCTTCTCTTTTTTTTTTTATTTAAGATTTTATTTACTGGGGCGCCTGAGTGGCTCAGTTGGTTAAGTGTCTGCCTTCAGCTCAGGTTATGATCTCAGAGTCCTGGGATCGAGTCCCACATTAGGCTTCCTGCTCAGTGGGGAGTCTGCTTCTCTCTCTCTCCCTCTGCCCCCCCTCCCCACCATTCGTTCTCTTTCTCTCTTAAATAAATAAATTTTAAAAAAATAAAGATTTAATTTATTTATTTAGAGAGACAGCGTGAGTGGGGGAAGGGCAGAGGGAGAGGGAGAGAGAATCTCAAGCAGACTCCATGCTGTGTGCACGGAGCCTGTCTCGTCTTGGTGCTTTATCACAAGACCCTCAGATCATGACCTGAGCTGAAATCAAGAGTCAGAGGCTTGGGCGCCTGGGTGGCTCAGTTGGTTAAGCGACTGCCTTCGGCTCAGGTCATGATCCTGGAGTCCCGGGATCGAGTCCCACATCGGGCTCCCGGCTCGGCGGGGAGCCTGCTTCTCCCTCTGACCCTATCCCCTCTCATGCTGTTTCTCTCTCTCTCTCTCTCAAATAAATAAATAAATAAAATCTTAAAAAAAAAAGAGTCAGAGGCTTAACCGACTGAGCCACCCAGGCGCCCCTTTCTCTTCATCTGACTGCATGAAGGAATTAACACTACTCCAAGCTAAAAGCAGACCTCCATGGTTACATTAGGTAAGCCGTGAGGTTTTTAAACTTATGACAGGGAACAGAAGGGAAATTCTACTCATTGCAAGGAAATCCTCACTTAAGCTTCAGTGAATCAAAAG